AGGGTGTTGAACAACCGTGGACCTCTGATGTTTATACAGTGTTCTCTGATTGTGCCTATGGCACCCCTGCTCGTCACTGGTTCTATTCTGCATTTTCTTTCATATCGTTCACTCCAGTACGTTGTTATTTTACTGTGTAGATTTGGTACTTGGCCCTCCAGTATCTTCCAGGTGTATATTTATTTGATATCTCTCTCGTCTACTTTCTAGTGAGCACATTTGGAGAGCTTTGAGACGATCCCAATAATTTAGGTGCTTTATCGCGTCTACGCGTGCAGTATATGTTCTCTGTATTCCTTCTATTTCAGCAATCTCTCCTGCTCTGAAGGGGGAAGTGAGTACTGAGCAGTACTCAAGACGGGACAAAACAAGTGACTTAAAGAGTACAACCATTGTGATGGGATCCCTGGATTTGAAAGTTCTCATAATCCATCCTATCATTTTTCTGGCTGTCGCACTATTTGCTTGGTTATGCTCCCTAAACGTTAGGTCGTCAGACATCATTATTCCCAAATCCTTTACATGCTGTTTTCCTACTATGGGCACATTTGATTGTGTTTTGTACCCTGTATTATGTTTAAGGTCCTCATTTTTACCGTTCCTGAGTACCTTGGAATTTATCACTGTTAAACATCATGTTATTTTCTGCTGCCCAGTCGAAAACTTTATTAATATCAGCTTGAAGTTTTTCAATGTCTTCAGCCGAAGTAATTTTCATACTGATTTTTGTGTCATCTGCAAAGGATGATACAAAGCTGTGACTTGTATTTTTGCCTATATCTGATATGAGAATAAGGAAAAGCAGCTGTGCAAGGATTGTACCCTGAGGTACAGAGCTTTTAACTGCGCTCGGACTAGATTTTATATGGTTGACCGTTACTCGCTGAGTCCTGTTTGACAGAAAATTGAGTATCCAGCGTCCTACTTTATCGGTTATTCCCATTGACTTAATTTTATGTGCTATGACGCCAAGGTCACATTTATCAAAAGCCTTTGCGAAGTCCGTGTATATCACATCAGCATTCTGTTTTTCTTCTAATGCCTCAGTGACTTTGTCGTAGTGCTCAAGTAGCTGTGAGAGGCACGATCTTCCCGCTCGAAATCCATGTTGGCCTAGGTTGTGAATGTCATTGGTCTCAATGAAATTGGTGACCTGACTCCTAATCATTCTCTCAAATACTTTTATTATGTGCGATGTTAGTGCAACTGGTCTATAATTCTTTGCCAACGCTTTGCTCCCTCCCTTGTGTAGAGGGGCTAAGTCTGCTACTTTAAGTGCATCTGGTTTCTCCCCCGTGTCCAAGCTCTTCCTCCACACTATACCGAGTGCCTGTGCTTCCAGCACTTTGCATTTCTTTATAAATATTGAATTCCATGAATCAGGACCTGGGGCCGAGTGCATGGACATGTTTTAAATTTCTCTTTCTAAGTCTAGTGCGTTCGTGTTCATATCAGTTATATTTACAGTGGTTTGAATATCCCGCATAAAGAAATTGTCTGGATCTTCCACTTTCATGTTGTTTATTGGAGTGCTAAACATGTCCTCATACTGCTTTTTTAGGATTTCACTAATTTCTTTGTCATCCTCTGTGTATGAACCTTCACTTGTACGAATAGGTCCAATACTGGCAGTGGTTTTTGCTTTTTATTTCGCATATGTGAAGAAGTATTTTGGATTTTTCTTTAATTCCTGAATTGCTTTCTGTTCTAACTCCCTTTCTTCAGTTTGATATGAGTTTTAATTTCCACTCGATTTCTTCAATCTCCCTATTTAAATTATTCCTTCTTTGACGGGAAATTCGTGTCTGCATAGGCATTTCCGTTATTTTTTACTTTCGTTTACAGTGTCGTCTGCGTTCTCTTTCTACGTTGGATCTCTTTCTGGCTTTCCTCAAAGGAACATGTTTCAGACAGACTTGATACTCTTCCGAAGTCAGTTTTTCTATTCCTTCTGTAGGACTTGTATTACTTAAAACAGTTTCCAATGGAATGTTTGTAAGTTCCCTGTTTATTTTCTCCCAGTCTATCCTTTTATTATTAAAATTGAATTTAATGAATAGCCCCTCTCGATTTATCAACGTTTTAGGTCTATTCTGAGAATTGACGGTCGTTTGCACTTCAATGAGCTTGTGATCTGAGCATGTGATATCTGATATCGTAATGTCTCTGATAATGTCTTCATTGTTAGTAAAGACCAGATCTAGAATATTTTAATTTCTCGTTGGCTCTGATATCTGCTGGTTGAGTGAAATTTTTTTACAGAATCTAAGTAGTTCTCTAATCTGTGATTGGTTAGGTCCCGATAGATTTCCTGGTATAATATTAGTTTTTGCTATTCTCCACCTGAGACTAGGCAAGTTGAAGTCTCCTAGGAAGATAATATCAGGTATCGGGTTCTCCAAATTATCAAGGCTATTTGAAAGCACTGAGAGCAGAACAATACTCTATTTTGTTTATCTGTTCTGTGAATTCCTTGGCCGTTGCATCTGACGGTTTGTATATTAGAATAATCACTAAATTTATTTTCTCTATTTTTAATCCCAGTACCTCTACCACCTAATTTGTAACGTTAAGGAGCTCCGAGCATACAAGGTCTTCCCTAATATACAGACCCACTCCTCCATGTGACCTAATTTTCCTATCACACCTGTATAGGTTATATCCTGGAATCCAGATCTCACTGACTAAGAATTCACCTGCATGGGTTTCTGTGAAAGCTCCAAATACTGCATTTGACTCCGTGAGGAGGCCATTTATGAACTGTACTTTGTTTTTTCCTCTTGCTTTCAGTCCTTGTTTGTTGGCAAAGATGAATGCGGTTACTCTATTAGTGATAGTTTGACTGGGAGACTTTTTCGGCAAGCCCATTATGCGTGGACATATTGAGTTTGTTCTGACCAGTACTGATTGTTGTAGGGCAGTTGCCTGTCGTTGTTGTAGTTCCCTTTCGGTATAAAAAATTTATCGAGTTTCCTCCAAATTCATTATCCTGCTTGCCACTCTTTATGTAGCGTTCCGTGCCTTTCACGTGAAAGTATGGGCAGCTGAGGTCATAGCATTTTCTGTCCTCCAGTGAGGTTTGGGACATGTCAGAATGGAAAAACCTACATATTGATCCAAATCGACACTCACCTTTCCTAAGCATATTTAAACATTTTTTGGGATGTTGGTAACTGCATTCTAATCCTTTCTTATTACCAGCATATCTATGTCTGCATATGTCCTTTGCATAAAATTTGCATAAGTCTGTCCTTCTGGTCTGACTCGCTCTATCGGGAACCGTTGTAGTGTCTGTACCTATCGACATGTCAGTGCTGTCTGTTACACTTTCTAGTTTACTGTCATCTACATCCGGGCCTACTGAGTCAGAGTTTACAACTTCCTGAGTTTCAGCTTCAGTTTCATCCCTGACTATAGCCTCTGCCCCTGGTATATTAGAATTGTTGTTGTTCCTTTCCCACTCCTTTTGGATAGCTGGTAGGCTTTCAATGAACGATGTTTTCCGTTCATGCGTCATGTTATCTAGAAGGTTTTTTAGGATATTCCAAGCTGGCAGGTCATTTTTTACACCCAGAGCAAGTGACCAGCTCTCAGTGCCGTGGTGTTACTCACTCCTGTACAAGCCGAATGAAATCTATTCTTACAGATATAACATTCAACTCCCGTTACCTTCGACTTTAAGGAGTTGTTACAGTGGCCACAAATTTGTTTATTTACTCCCATTTTGCCTTGTTTTGTTGTATATATCTATATATTTATAATATTATATGTATACCTTATATTTGTAATAATATATATGTTTATTTGTTCTACTGTATGGTCAGTACTTATCGCACGGTCGAGGGTGAGAGTCCCAGAGGCTGTACAGTTGACACGTTGTTGTCCCAGGCCGCGGCTGGAGGCCCTCAGGTGCCAGTTACTTGGGTTATAACACTGATATATTAATTCGCCTGTATTACAATAAGGGATTTTTGCTTTATTTCCGACTTGCAATAGTATTCACTTTCTCAATTACTAATTTCTCGATCCACATTCCCCTATTACACTTGTTGGAAACCAATTTACTAGTAAGCACACACACACACACACACACACACACACACACACACACACACACACACACACACACACACACACACACACACACACACACACACACACATACACACACACACGGTGGGCACACGGGACGTGGGTCTATGGGGTGGGTTCTGGCACCACGAAGTGGACTCCACACAAAATTCACTTGTTATTTCCTTAAAGCACAAAAGTCGGATGTCAATCACTATGGTATATTGTTTAATAAGTTGAGATGCACTTTATGAGATATCTGACTGTGTTTAGTTCCTGTATCACTGAAATATCCCGATATATATATTGTTTTTCACAGAGCTCGTGCTCACGTGTGCTTCCCCTCCCTCACCAACCCTGGAAACACCAACCGAAACTGTCTCTATTTTCCGCTTGTTACAACTTGTAATAAAGTTGTTACATCTTGGCTTAACGTGTTTATGACGTATTAGAACGTTGTTACAACTTGCTATATTGGTTGTTATAACTGGTTAGGAGGTGTTAAAACTTGTTCGAACGTTGTACCAACGTCGTAGTTTCGGTGTGTGTTTGGCGGGAACTACGGACTCGTGCTCACGTGTGCTTCACCTCCCTTACCAACTACCGACCTGTGTGTGACAGCCTAGTGCGTGACAGTCCAGTGTGTGACAGTCCCGTGTGTGAGAGAACAGTGTCTGACAGTCCCGTGTGTGACAGTCCAATGTGTGACAGTCCCGTGTGTGACAGTCCAATGTGTGACAGTCCCGTGTGTGACAATCCAATGTGTGACAGACCCGTGTGTGACAGTCCAATGTGTGACAGTCCCGTGTGTGACAGTCCAATGTGTGACAGACCCGTGTGTGACAGTTCAATGTGTGACAGTCCCGTGTGTGACAGTCCAATGTGTGACAGACCTGTGTGTGACCAGAGTGCCACGTCTGGCCTTGCAGGTGAGGACACAGAAGAGACGCTGGAGGAGAGGAACAAGTTGAAGGAGGAGCTGCTGAAGAAGTATGAGGAGGTGGCGGCGTCCTCGGGCGCCTGCACCACTCACAGCCTCGTCAAGGTCATCTCACACAAGTGGGTCCTGGCCACATATTACTAAACAGTCTTTATAATCATCTTATATTCTTGTTACTCTTTCTTACATTTTATGTGATTGTAGTACCATTGTTATTAATACTAACATTATTACTAATATTATTATTACTGATATTTTATTATTTATACTATTTATTACTTATATTATTACTTATACTCTTCACAATATTACTGTTGTATTTTCACAGTTCATATTTAAGTATTTAGTAATTATTCAATTAAAGTAATGTTAGCATAAAGCCCGAGGCGACCATTACCAGTGTGAGCCACACAGTAATGTTAACATAAAGCCCGAGGCGACCATTACCAGTGTGAGCCACACAGTAATGTTAACATAAAGCCCGAGGCGACCATTACCAGTGTGAGCCACACAGTAATGTTAACATAAAGCCCGAGGCGACCATTACCAGTGTGAGCCACACAGTAATGTTAACATAAAGCCCGAGGCGACCATTACCAGTGTGAGCCACACAGTAATGTTAACATAAAGCCCGAGGCGACCATTACCAGTGTGAGCCACACAGTAATGTTAACATAAAGCCCGAGGCGACCATTACCAGTGTGAGCCACACAGTAATGTTAGCATAAAGCCCGAGGCGACCATTACCAGTGTGAGCCACACAGTAATGTTAACATAAAGCCCGAGGCGACCATTACCAGTGTGAGCCACACAGTAATGTTAACATAAAGCCCGAGGCGACCATTACCAGTGTGAGCCACACAGTAATGTTAACATAAAGCCCGAGGCGACCATTACCAGTGTGAGCCACACAGTAATGTTAACATAAAGCCCGAGGCGACCATTACCAGTGTGAGCCACACAGTAATGTTAACATAAAGCCCGAGGCGACCATTACCAGTGTGAGCCACACAGTAATGTTAACATAAAGCCCGAGGCGACCGTTACCAGTGTGAGCAACACAGTATAGTAATGTTAACATAAAGCCCGAGGCGACCATTACCAGTGTGAGCCACACAGTAATGTTAGCATAAAGCCCGAGGCGACCATTACCAGTGTGAGCCACACAGTAATGTTAACATAAAGCCCGAGGCGACCATTACCAGTGTGAGCCACACAGTAATGTTAACATAAAGCCCGAGGCGACCGTTACCAGTGTGAGCAACACAGTATAGTAATGTTAACATAAAGCCCGAGGCGACCATTACCAGTGTGAGCAACACAGTATAGTAATGTTAACATAAAGCCCGAGGCGACCATTACCAGTGTGAGCCACACAGTACAGTAATGTTAATATAAAGCCCGAGGCGACCATTACTAGTGTGAGCCACACAGTATAGTAATGTTAACATAAAGCCCGAGGCGACCATTACTAGTGTGAGCCACACAGTATAGTAATGTTAACATAAAGCCCGAGGCGACCATTACCAGTGTGAGCCACACAGTATAGTAATGTTAACATAAAGCCCGAGGCGACCATTACCAGTGTGAGCCACACAGTACAGTAATCACAGTTCTCATTTTCAGACTTGACAAGTTATCAGAATACCTGAAGCGAGACGACGACCAGGAGGACGAGTGAGTAAAGGCGGGAGCAAGTTAGACTTGAGACGTACTTAACTTGTGAAAGCAAGACACACTTAAGCCTTGCTCTTGTTGCAGCATGTGACACACTTAAGCTTTGCTGTTGTTGCACAATGAGACACACTTAAGTCTTGCTGTTGTTGTAGCATGATACATTTTCAGTCTTGCTGTTGTGGAAACATGAGACACTTAAAGTTTTGCTGTTGTGGAAGCATGAGACACTTTAAGTCATGTTTTTATGGAAGCATGAAACACTTTAAGTCATGCTGTTGTGGAAGCATGAGACACTTTAAGTCATGCTTTTGTGCAAACATAAAACACTTTAAGTCATGCTATTGTGGAAGCATGAGACACTTTAAGTCATGATATTGTGGAAGCATGAGACACTTTAAGTCATGCTATTGTGGAAGCATGAGACACTTTAAGTCATGCTATTGTGGAAGCATGAGACATACAGGTCTTGCTGTTATGGTAACATGGGACACATTTAAATCCAGAAGATATGGGAAAATCTGAATGTCTGCTAAGCTTTAATTACCGCTTGTAATAAGAGGGTCGAACACTCCTCCTTTATCCCAGCCTCAGCACTCAATATACTGTGGACAGCGGTATCCAGGGTCAAGAATAGACAGCAATATTTGCCATTATACTGTGGACGGTGGTGTCAAGGTTCCAAAATTGACAGAAATATCTGTCATTATACTATGGACGGTGGTGTCAAGGGTCCAGACACCAACGGCCTCAAATATGCCGGAATAAATGAAGGGAAGTTTTTCCAACATGAACGGTCCTTAGTAAAATCATGTTGTTAATCTTTTATTTCGTTATGTTTCTCAAGATGAGTGAATAGTGTTTGCATAAATTGATTCATTAAATTTTCCACCAATAGAAGTTAGGGAATAAATAAATATTTGTATTAACGAACTATGGAAACTATTTTTTCCAGTGATGCTGATGAGGATGATGAGGACGAGGATGATGAGGACGAGGATGATGAGGACGAGGATGACGAGGACGAGGATGACGAGGATGAGGAGAATAATAAAAACGGTGATACATTGACCAACGAAATCGAAACATCTGGCAGCCAATCAACTCTGAAAGAAGAACCAGCCGACGAATGTGTTGACCTCAGCCAACACAAACAGTCTGATGAGGCAGACGCCGCTGAGCAGGTCAAGGTATGAAACAAGGGGTGTGCCGTCTTTCCACAGAAATTATTATTTTGAGGCAGAAGCTTCGGGCAGTTCTCAGCACTGCGTCAGCTACACTTCATGCACAAGTGCTCAGCACTGCGTCAGCTACACTTCATGCAGCAGTGCTCAGCACTGCGTCAGCTACACTTCATGCAGCAGTGCTCAGCACTGCGTCAGCTACACTTCATGCAGCAGTGCTCAGCACTGCGTCAGCTACACTTCATGCAGCAGTGCTCAGCACTGCGTCAGCTACACTTCATGCACCAGTGCTCAGCACTGCATCAGCTACACTTCATGCAGCAGTGCTCAGCACTGCGTCAGCTACGCTTCACGCACCGGTGCTCAGCACTGCGTCAGCTACACTTCATGCAGCAGTGCTCAGCACTGCGTCAGCTACACTTCATTCAGCAGTGCTCAGCACTGCGTCAGCTACGCTTCACGCACCAGTGCTCATTTTTTTAATGCCAGAGAAAGTAGGACCCAGCACGAAACTCAGAAGGAAAAGTGTAAATTGCCTCAATGGCCATAAGAACGCAGTTGTGTTCAAATATTATATTTCCATGTAGTGTCATGTCTTTTAGAAACCCAAAAATCAATGAGCAATCGAAGCATTTGGAGAAAAGTCATCACGAATGAAAACTTCCAAATTCAGCAGGACGTCAGTGGTGCTTAGACGCTTGTGAAAGACAATTATTCAGTATGAGGAAAGAATTAGGTTCAACAATAGCACAAAATGTACATTATTATACATAAAAAAAAACTTACAGAGCCAACTCATTAGGCCAGTGGGGCGAAAGTTACTAGGTGAGGTGCCGTGTATCCTGGGTGTTAGTGGGAAAGTCGCCCTTCTCGACTCAGGCCTCAGGTTGCATAGCACTTTATTGTACATTGCCATCCTTGCCCACCGCCGTGGAGCTAGCTGCAAAGGGACATGATGGACTGAAGTTCACTACGGACGATGAAATGGTTGTATGAGAGCCGAAGGTGAGGTCCAAGGGCTGAGACTCAACACGGTACTGACTCGTAAGGGCAACACCAGCACCACAACACCAGCTCCACAACACCAGCTCCACAACACCAGCTCCACAACACCAGCTCCACAACACCAGCTCCACAACACCAGCTCCACAACACCAGCTCCACAACACCAGCTACACAACACCAGCTACACAACACCAGCTCCACAACACCAGCTCCACAACACCAGCTCCACAACACCAGCTCCACAACACCAGCTCCACAACACCAGCTACACAACACCAGTTCCACAACACCAGCTCCACAACACCAGCACCACAACACCAGCACCACAACACCAGCACCACAACACCAGCTCCACAACACCAGCTCCACAACACCAGCACCACAACACCAGCTCCACAACACCAGCACCACAACACCAGCTACACAACACCAGCTCCACAACACCAGCTACACAACACCAGTTCCACAACACCAGTTCCACAACACCAGCTCCACAACACCAGCTACACAACACCAGCACCACAACACCAGCACCACAACACCAGCACCACAACACCAGCTCCACAACACCAGCTCCACAACACCAGCTCCACAACACCAGCTACACAACACCAGCACCACAACACCAGCTACACAACACCAGCTACACAACACCAGCACCACAACACCAGCACCACAACACCAGCTACACAACACCAGCTACACAACACCAGCTACACAACACCAGCTACACAACACCAGCTACACAACACCAGCTACACAACACCAGCTACACAACACCAGCTCCACAACACCAGCTACACAACACCAGCACCACAACACCAGCTACACAACACCAGCTCCACAACACCAGCTACACAACACCAGCTACACAACACCAGCACCACAACACCAGCTACACAACACCAGCTACACAACACCAGCTCCACAACACCAGCTACACAACACCAGCTACACAACACCAGCACCACAACACCAGCTACACAACACCAGCTACACAACACCAGCTACACAACACCAGCTACACAACACCAGCTACACAACACCAGCTACACAACACCAGCACCACAACACCAGCTACACAACACCAGCTACACAACACCAGCTCCACAACACCAGCTACACAACACCAGCTACACAACACCAGCTACACAACACCAGCTACACAACACCAGCTACACAACACCAGCTACACAACACCAGCTACACAACACCAGCTACACAACACCAGCTACACAACACCAGCACCACAACACCAGCTACACAACACCAGCTACACAACACCAGCACCACAACACCAGCACCACAACACCAGCTACACAACACCAGCTACACAACACCAGCACCACAACACCAGCTACACAACACTAGCTACACAACACCAGGTCCACAACACCAGCTCCACAACACCAGCACCACAACACCAGCTACACAACACCAGCTACACAACACCAGCTACACAACACCAGCTACACAACACCAGCTACACAACACCAGCTACACAACACCAGCTACACAACACCAGCTACACAACACCAGCTACACAACACCAGCACCACAACACCAGCTACACAACACCAGCTACACAACACCAGCTCCACAACACCAGCTACACAACACCAGCTACACAACACCAGCTACACAACACCAGCTACACAACACCAGCTACACAACACCAGCACCACAACACCAGCTACACAACACCAGCTACACAACACCAGCTACACAACACCAGCACCACAACACCAGCTACACAACACCAGCTACACAACACCAGCTCCACAACACCAGCACCACAACACCAGCTACACAACACCAGCTACACAACACCAGCTACACAACACCAGCTCCACAACACCAGCTACACAACACCAGCACCACAACACCAGCTACACAACACCAGCTACACAACACCAGCTACACAACACCAGCTACACAACACCAGCTACACAACACCAGCTACACAACACCAGCTACACAACACCAGCTACACAACACAAGCTCCACAACACCAGCTACACAACACCAGCTACACAACACCAGCACCACAACACCAGCTACACAACACCAGCTACACAACACCAGCTACACAACACCAGCTACACAACACCAGCTACACAACACCAGCTACACAACACCAGCTACACAACACCAGCTACACAACACCAGCTACACAACACAAGCTCCACAACACCAGCTACACAACACCAGCTACACAACACTGTTATGATCTCAGCCTGCAGGAGAAACGAGTCTCCCTTCTTGAGAGTTATTCAGCAAGCCTGACCTAACTAGAAGGTCTAGCAAATATTGAGGTGATAACCCATGTGAAAAATGGTATGGTGGATTCAGTGAACAATTTGAGATTATGGGCAATGAAGTAAGGAAATAGATAAATGACTGGCTAGGAGATGTGGACATTTTGCTGGAGGCGTGAGGCTCGCTTCCGGAGGACCTTGACCTCACTTGAGTGCCAGACATCGCAGGGGAAGCCGCGCTCCGTTTGAGCTCCCGCCAGAAGGGAACCCCTAGTGATATATCTCGAAGAGAAGAGAAGTGTGTAGACGTGCCAGCTGTGGAACCGAGCTGGGAACGTTGTGGTCTCAAGTCCTGGTCGAAGAAGAGAGTATCAAGCCGGCCAGAGACATTATTGTGGGCCGTGGGAGCGCCCTGACCAGACGCCGTCAGAGGGAAAGCGCCCTCGACCAGCCGATCTGTGGTAAGCACGATATACGCCAGTTCATAGTGATTGCTTGTAGTTTAGTCGTGTGCCCAGCGACAGTAGCGATGTTTATTTATAGGTTAGACATGTTTTAATAAGGCAGAAGGCCTGAAATAGGAGAGTGAAGAGGGAGGAGCACGGAGCGACGTCCATCCCCTCTGAGCTCTGACAGACGACTGAGGGAGCCCGGCTCCGGATGGAGGAAGACCCTCCCAGCGAGTGAGGACCGCCGCCAGGCGAGGTGGAGTATGGACCCGCCCAAAACGGGGGAGTCCACTCTCACTGTATGTAGAGAACAGATAGAGGTTTGAGGCAAGCATATTGTGTGGTTATTTTTGTTTATGTGTTAAAGGGGAACGTTTTATTGGAGTGTCGATGGGTTGCAGGTTTGTCTTTTGGGGAAGAAGTTGCTGAGAACTTCGAAGCCAGCAGATGAAGTAATTGATGAGACTCCAAAGGTAGTGGAGCAGAGGACCTCGAGCTGTGAGGAGAAGCAGCAGTGAAGAGGAGTGTCACGTGCTTCTGTAGAGGTGGTGTAGCAGCCAAGAGAGCTGTGGAAGAACCTAACAGAAGGGTGAAGCACCGTAGTTACTCAAGGAAACTTCATGATAGCAGCCTGGAGGAGCTGCAGAGGATCCTGATAGTGAAGCCCGGCAGAACCTAAAGATATTAGGGTAGTGAACTTCCAGAGGTGGAAGGGGAAGTTCTGGTGGATTACTTATAGGGAGTTGATAGTGTTTGGTTGTCATTAGCGTGCAAGACGCAGTGAGAGGTGAGTGAATGTTTGCATTCTTATGTCAAGGAGTGATTTATTCTGAAGCTTAGAGTTGCAGTCGTAGGCTTGATTACCTACAGATATATGTGCTCGAGGACTGATATTGATCGATTAATCATTGTTGTGTATCAATGAACATTTATACTGATATATGTTATCGCATTCAAATGCTGGTTTTCTATATATACATTATCTTGCTGATAGTGCAACAGTGTATGTAGGCTTGACCAACTTGAGGAGGTTGATAGTATCAGGTGGTGAACCAGGAGATAGGATACCACTTGATAAGCTGATGGTAGAGTTCTGGTTGTGTTGGAGAGCAACCTGATTGTGATATTATAGAGTATAGGATTCATTATTATTATATGTGTGTATGTATCGTGTATGTGCTTTGTCTAGTAAATGTATCCCAATTTGCTGGTGTTTGCCCTTGTCCTAGTGAGGCTTCCCAGGAGGTAGTAAAGAGGGAGAGAGAGAGAGAAAGAACCAAGAACCACTGCTGTG